TCTATATTCCTTATGATAGTGCTTAGCTTTTTCATAGATAAGCTTCCTCCTTGCCTTTCGAAGCATCTTTTGAGCAAACTTCTTTCTCAGGCGCTTGATCTTCAACTCTGCAAAATTCCTTCGCTTTTTCTTAAGGATTTCTAGCACAGCAGGAACCTTTTTCTTGGTGGCTTCCGTGGCAGCAGGAGCCTTTTTCTTGGTTTCCACCACAGCAGGCACCTTCTTTTTTCTTCTCTTGAATGCCCTCCATGGTTCCAGCTGGTAAAGAGCCAGGCTCTCTATTATTTTCCATTGGTCTATCTGTCTACTATTTACCAGTACACTGTCTTAATTACTGTACATTTATTTTAAATCTTGAAGTCAGGTCATGTCAATTTTCATAGTTTATTCTTTATCTTCAATAATGTGTTGACAATTTCGGATCTGTTGACTTTCCATATAACTTAACTTTGTTGACAAAATAACTTGATGGAATTTTCATCTGAATTGCATTTAATCTATAAAATTGGGAATACCAGGGACTAGCAGGAGGCATGGTGGTTGAGACACTAGACATTCCCACACAGCCAACCATGGTATGAATCCTGGACCTGGTGGCTTGCCTGCTTTTCCACTCCCCCTCCCCCCCGTGTCTCTCTCTCTGGTCAAATTAAAATAAATGAATGAATAAATGAATTAATAAATAAATAATTTTTTGGGGAAAGGTTTTTGCTATAGGGCACATGTGCTCACCAGAGAGACAGAGAGAGACAGAGAGACAGAAAGTGAGAAATCACACCCCCCTTCATGGGGGATGGCCATGCTGCAATCCCTTCTCCTCTATTCTCCTCTCAGGATTTTGGGCACACATGCACATGCGTCCAGCATGGGTTTTAAACTGCCGGGTCCAGGACTTGAAATGCGGTCGACTACATGGGAATTCAGCAACATAGCCATTATGCTAACTGCTGGTCCCATAAATAAATAAATCTTTAAAAATATTAGGAAGACCAAATATCTTAATGATATTAAGTCTTCCTGTCCATGAACATGGATTATCTCTCCATTTATTAAGATCTTTTATTTCTTTCTTCAGACTTTGTAGATTTCCTCATATTGATATTTTAAATATTTGTTAGATTTATTCCTAAGAATCGTAATATAAATAGTTTGTGTTTTCATGTACAAATTTCAATTCATTGCTGGTATATAGTTAATATAAATAGTTTGTGTTTTCATGTACAAATTTCAATTCATTGCTGGTATATAGGAAAGCAATTGAAATTTGTATATTAACATCATCTCCTATAATGTTGCCATAATTACTTATTCATCTGAGTTTTTTGTCAATTCTTTGTGATTGTCTACATTGACAAACATGTCATCTGTGAATAAAGAACATTTTATTTCTTTCCACTCTATTCACTTGTTATTTCAAATTATTTCTACTTCTATTGCATTAGGTATAATTTCCAGTAAGATGCTAACTAGGAGTGGTGAGAGAGGACATCTTGGCCTCATTCCTGATATTCAAGGGAATCTAGTTTTTCATTAAGTATGATGTAAGCGATGGAATTTTTTAGTTGTAATTTGTAAAAGTCAAGAAGTTCCCCTTCTATCTATGTTTGCTGTATTTTTTTTCTTTTTTCGTTGTCATAGAATGTGTGCACTCACCAGAAAGAGATAGAGAAAGGCAGAGAGAGGGAAAGTGAGAAATCACCTCCCAGGAAGGATGGCCATGCTGCAATCTCCTCTCTTTCCTTCTCTCAGGATTTTGAGAATGCATGCATATGCACCTGGTGTGATTTTTCAAGCCGCAGGTCCCAGGACTCAAGCCACAGTCACCCATGTGGGAATCCAGTACCTTAAACACCACACCACCTGCTAGTCCCAGTTTGTGGTACTTTTTGTTTTACCATGAAGAGACAGGAGAGTTTGTCAAATGCTTTTTTCTGCTTCTAATGATATGATCATATAATTTTTCTTTTCTAGCCTATTGATGTGGTGGACTTAATATTAACTGGTTTTCAGATATTGAAGTAGCCTTGTATAGTTGGTATCATCTCTCTTGGTCATGATGTCTTTTATCAATTATAGATACGAAACTGGTCATTTATTCAACTATTGGCTTCCCAGTATTTTCCCCATTTTTTTCCTTTAGAATTCTGATTAGACATGTGTTGAAATTTTCACT